TATGAATCAGGCCATGCAGCGTCTACATCCACATTAGTCTTGGTCATGACAAGTCTCCCAGCCTAATTTTCAAGACAGAATAGGCTGTGGGTGCAGAAAAGACAAGACACCTCCACTGAAAATGTCCAGCATGGGAAGACAAATGCAGGGAAGAGTCTTTGGCGTGTACGTGGCATTTCTTTTGGTCCCCTTTAAGCCCATCTACTTACCAGAAGGTGCAAAGACTGGAGAGAAGAGTCCCACGACACAGCCTCACCAGCTGATGCTGCAAGTCTGAGCACGAGGACGTGACCCGGTGGGGGATCGGGCAATAGCAGCTCTCACGGACAGCCGGGTCAAGGGCCAGCCTGGTCCTGCAATTATCACCTGAGGCCGGCAGGCACCGGACACCAGCAGCCCTGTTGCAAAGCACTGGTGTATTGTGCCTTGCCATCCCCTCGCACGAAGCACTGCAGAGCCCCTCGCCTGCCCATCCCTTGCTGCCAGCGGCTGTTTCAAGCACAGCAAGTCTCCTAAAACGTGAGCCTGGCTCCGTTTCCCTCTCTTACAAGCACGAGGTCTGCACAGCTGTTGGCTGAGTGGCATGGTCTCGTATCGGATGGACCGGCGAGGGGAACGGCATGGCCATACATCATCTTTCCAGGCCCGTGGCTTCCCACCCCAATCCTGGCAGCAACCTTGGAGTCTCCACTCTCCTCCCTCCCTGCCTTTCCCATCTCCCTCTCGAGAAGCTTCTCACAGGAGCTCTCGGAGCAGGCGCCGAGCTCCCCCCTTCCTCCCACCCCTCTGGAGCCTACTGCCAAACTCGCAGTCCTGGCAAACCTGCAAGGCAAGAGCCGAAGAGTCAGAACAGCAGCGCGGGGCTCGGCGTGGGATGCACCTCTCTGGCCCCAGGCTGTTTGCCCGCCACGTAGCCCATGCAGGGGTCTCGAGGCCCTGTGAGATGACAGCAGAGCATCACTGTGCCAATGGGGAAACTGAGGCATGGTGGGGCCAACAAGCTTCCCCCAAGGGGAAGCAGCCACTAGGGAGAGAGCCAGAAATGGAAACTGGACTTCATTTGAATGATGCAGATGGGCACAACTCTCCGGCGCTTTAAAGGGGTCAGAGAGTCGCTGCTGGGGAGAGATAAGGAGAGAGAAAAATGGGCGCTGGTGGGAGCAGTGGGATTTTATGCAGGGGGCAGGAGCCCTCTGGAAGAGGGGCTGGATGCAGACACAGGACACAGGAGTCAAGCATCCCCCCCAGCCCTGTGCCCCTGGGAAGAGGCATAGACCGGAGCACAGAGCCACAAGGCAGAGGGCGCAGGGCTGGCGGGGGGATGCCGTCCGCAGAGCTGGCCATGGCTGAGGCTGCCCTACAGACTCTGCGCGCAGCACAGCCTCCCTCTGCCGGTGCTGCCCCACCTGGGGATACAGCCTGAAGGCAGCAAGAGTGAGCCCCCCCCCCACCTACCCCTGCCCCATGACCCCTTAGTGATGGGCCCGAGCCGCGCCGCGGGCTGGCTGCTCCCCACCCCACTTCCTGCGCGCTGCCTGGAACTGCCCAGGACGTGCATTAATCATCCTGTCCCGACGCCCAGCCAAGGGCAGGCGCAAGCTGCAGAGCACAAGCATCGAGTGGGCCGGCAGGAAAAGCCGGCTGGGAGGGAGCTGGCGGAGGAGGGAAGAGGAGCAGCCCGCAGCGGGCCTGGATGTCTGTGCAGAGCCAGGCACACTGATGGAGCCCACTTGGGGATGCCTTGTCCCAGAGGCCAGGACTGCAGGAGGGCTGGGGAGGGGCGGTGAGTTAATGCCTCAGAGCTGCCTTGCCCTTGCCCCCGGGGATGCCCCGCTTCAGGAGAGCAAGCTCCTGCCAGGAGCATGCATGCCCCCCAGCACTGGTGCTGTGGCCCCCACTCTGTGCTAGCATTGTCTCGGGCATGCTGAGAGAAGCTCTCGGAGAGTCCCTGGCACCAGGCTAGGGCCCACACCCTGCCCTGCCACGCTGCCTGTGCAGCTGCTCCCCGCAGGGGCACCGGGGACCACAGCTGAGCACCCTGCAGGCTGAGCCAACAGAGAATGGGCCCCAGGGAGGGGCCTACAGCATTTACACTGCCACTAGGTCTCAGTCCAAAGCAGGGCCATGATCCCTCTCCCCAGCACGCCTGAATCCAAATGCTGCTACCCCGGGGGGGGGGGGGGGGGGAAAGGGGGGGGGGAAACGGGAAAACGCGGGCCCCAGGGGGGGGGGGGGGCAGAAAGGCTGGAGGGAAACTGAGGCACGGTGCAGGGCTACATGGCTGCAGCAGGCAGCTACCCCATCATGGCCTGGTGGGGTATAAGCTTAAACATATGCCCAGAGCAGCTAGCAACACGTGCAGGAGAGCCCACAGAGAGCAGTGGGCACTGGTGGCAGTAGTGGGATTTTAATGAGGGGTCAGATGCACAGCTCCTACCCCTGAGCTCAGCTGCCACATCCCCTCTCCTTCCCTTCGGTGTACCACTAGCTACCCTCTCTTGTCCCCCACGCCCGCAGCCGCGCGCCTGGCCCCCTCCACAAAGCCGCACTCCATTTTTCACTCCGACAGGTTAAAACAAGCCGCCCTCATGCCGGGTCTGGGATTCATTAGGCTCTTTCCTCATTTCCTCCAGCGCTCGGCGTGGGGCGGAGGCAGGCAGGCTGGTTCAGGAGGTCGGCTGCTGGGTTTTTATCTGGAGGAGCCTGCGGGTGGGGGCTTTGCTCAGGGCAGCCACATCACAGGGCATCCCCTTCCTCTGGGAGACCGTGGGCAAACCCAGCTGCTCTGAATGCACCGGGATGCCCCCCCGCAATACCCAGCCTGAGCCAAGGACCCCCGCGCCGTGACACGGCCTGTACCCACCGTCCCTTGGAGCCCATGCAGTCCCCAAGCAGCGGCCATGCACCTCCAGCCCAAGGGGGTTCTCAAGTGGGGCCACCACAGCCACCCAGAGTGCACACGTGTGGCACACGCATGTGCACGTGTGTCCGTGTCTGTGCAGCAGAGAGAGTGAGAAAACATGTCCATCCCTCTGGGGGGTTGGTACAAGCAGCCTTGAAGGGAGAAGAGGGAGAGTTAGGAGGAGCATTTTGCCCCCCACATTAGCAACTGGACAGCACACAGCTGGATGGGTGGGTGCGGAGGGCGGAGGGCACATCCCTGCCAGGCCAAGCACTCTGGGGAGCGCGTGCTCACCCCAGACTGGAGGGAGGCTGGCACTGGCACATAGGAGCTCACGGGGCACGCTTGGCCACGGCTTGCTGAAGAGCTGCGTGTGGTCCATGCACGTGTACACATGCACACGTTCACCCACCCTGTGGTGTTGGGGCGTGAACGAGGGGAAGTCCAGTACCAGGGGGTCGTTTTCACCACGACGCATTGGCAAAGTGCAAGGGGGTAATCACAGGGGCTGAACAAGACACCCAGCCCCTGGCCCATGAGATGTGGCTTAGCCCCCCCGGGGCTATCAGAGCTGGCACCTGGCTCCTCTCTGCCCAGCCTCGGGCACCAGCTGATCATTTCCTGCCGCCATCCCGAGACATCCCGAGCGCCCCCTCGGCCGGGCAGAGAGGAAGGTGGTCCTGTGAGCAGGTTTGGGCAGTCCGTTCATCCCAGGCAGCGGAGCTGGATCCATTCACCGCTCTAAGAAGCAACCCCAGCTTGACATGCAAGGCCCGGCCTTGGGATTCCTCCTCGCTGGCTGGAACGGGGCTGAACAGCAGTGCCCGCCCGGACCGAGCCCCCAGCCCCGCAGCT